AGTCTCTGCAAGTCAGAAACCAGCTGCCTTCATGCTTGAGGGCCTCGTGCACCACTGAAGGTGACTGCGTGGGTCTGAGCTGTGCTGGCTCAGCCCCCGTTTCATCTTGCACCACTGACTCTCTCCCTGAGGCTCCCGACACCCAGTGCTTGGTCACCTCCGCCAGTGCCAAAGGGAGTTGCCCCGCTCGTAATCAACCAGCCCCACTCTCCCAAAACAGGTCAGTCCTGCCTGCCCCTGATAAGAGCCTGCTTCAGAGAGGAGAGGCCCCCCAGACGGGCTGCAGCCAGCACGGACACCCCCCCCTGCAGCTCCACGGACTGACGGGGCCAACAAGGCTGTGACAAGTTCTGACGGGGCACGCAGCTCCTGCCACCGCTGCAAGCCCAGCCCCGGGGCAGCGGGGGCTGCAGGGCCCCTCTGTGCAACTGTCCTGCCCACAACTTCTTCCCCTTCTACCTCCACCCTCTGACTTGCCCATGAGGGAAGGCAGGTCAGGAGGGGAGCTGGTAGAAAATTAAACACAGTGCCGCAAAGAAAAGCCCAAGGCATGACGGCGTGGGCACGCGCTGGGTATCTGGCAGTGAAGGCACGTAGTACTGAGAAAAGCATCCATACCTGCCAAGCGTTCCTCTGGAGCAGAAGAGTCCTTTCAAAAAAAAGAACAAAACAACAAAAAAAACCCCCTTACTATTCCTTGATGTAAAAATAAAAAAAAAAAACCACAATTGCTCTTTAACTGCTCTCTAATACAAGGACTTTTAGATGCTATCAGTCACACGAGCTATATGTACTGCATGTTTGTTAGCGTGCTAGGCAGGAACTGGGGAAAAACCCCCAAAACCATCAAATAAAACACAACCTTCACTTGAAGTCAAAGGAATGATTCACATAGTTAAAATGCTTTCTTCTTACGAACCATTTCTAACCTTGGCCCTGATCCCAAAGTCTCTTTGCATGTTTAATTCGCAAGCCTTGCAAAACAAACAAACGAGCTACACCACATAAGGAAATGTTTTCCAAAATGGAATTTAAACAAAGGAATGAGAAAACATCCACCAAGGATGAAACCCATTCGGAATTCCCATCTGCAGCTAAGCTGCACCTTTCCAGCCTGCCCCCTCGGCGAGCAGACCAGAAGCCCTCTCCCGAGAAGGGCGTTCTCGGAGCCCCTTCTGCTCAGGGGAGCTCCCCAAGAGATACGTAACCCCGGCCCCAGCCCAGCACTGACGCAGATCGTTTCAGCATCGCTGCAGCGCCTGCAGGTCCGCACCAAAATCAACACCCGATGACTTCATTTTCGCTCAGTTTTGTAACGCGTCCCTCCCCGCTTCACGCCTGGAGCGGAGAGGAGTGGGGAGAGCAGAGCACCAGCAGCCTTTGCATCACACGCTCCGGCTTTCTGGAACGGTTTGTTAGCGCAGCTTGAGCCGCCGAGAGAAAAGGGTTTGCAGATGGGAAGCATGAACGTTATCACATCACTGCACGCGCGCTGGGGACTGCAGGCATGCGGGCAGCGGCACAGCATAAAGAAGGAGGTTCCCTCAGAAAAGGGTTGCTTCATGCATTTTCTCCGCGGCATTTTGCTTTTCTCCTTTTATTACAAACGAGAATGGAAAATTCCTGTTGCAAACATGGCTGTCACTCAAAAATGTCTGCCCCCACACCCCCAGCTGAACATCCCTGCGCTGCCTCTTCAGAAGAAACACCCCATTCACTTCTGACGCGCTCTGCACGCAGATGCGTTTCGGATACCCAGCGAGTTCATGGCTCCCCGCAACACCAAGCGAGTTGGTCCACAAATCCAGGGCAACTCCCACTCCCACTCGACTTGCCCGCCTGGCACACGCTGCCGGTGGCACAGCCGGCTCCAGCCAGCGTGGGCAAGGCACGCGCCCACCCACTGGTGGGGCAAAGCCCGCCTGGAAGGCACAGCACCCACCCTGCCACCTGGGGAACTCGGGAGCTGCTAGTTACTCCCTTTGACATGCTTGTTCCTACGTCTGGCAGTTAACTCCGATAGATTCTCACTCATTAAGGCCAGGTCCTAAAACTGGAGCGATGCAAAAGGCCTCTGGCAAGGCTTCCCAGAGATGCCGTGAAGCGAAACTAGAGTTCAAGGAGATGCTTTCAGAATTTAGGCCCTAAATCTAAACGCCAAGCTTAGCCAGTTTTGGTTTTGTTTACGTTGCCACTACAGCCTGGCATCCACCAAACGCAGTGTAAATGCCACCCCGGTCCCCCAAGCCCTCCTCCCCGAGCAATAACCAGCGCTTCGGCAGCCCAAAAACTCCACAGGAGCCTCTCGGATGGGTTATCGATGTGAAAAGCCACAGAGAGAGACAGGCTCCAGCTGAGCAGATACTGACCTACTTGGGGCTGTGAGTCAGCTTAAAAACCTCGGCGCACCCTTGAGCCGGGAAAGGAGAAGAGAAACCCCCCCCTCAAACTTCCCAGCTTGTCGGG